AGCTAGATAAGTCTATTTAAAAAATCTGAGTTGTTAACAAGATGAAGATCTTATCAAAGAGATGAAAAAAGATTCATATTTTCATAACTACAAATTTCTTTTAAAAGATAAAAAATAACATTTTATAAAGAACCAACATTCCTCAACCATTGCTGACATGTATTTTCTTCATTTGTTTGAAAGACAAGACAGAAAAAGAAGAGGTGACAAAAATTTACCAATTTTTTTCATACAGAAAGCAAGAAACTACTCCCATGTAGATCACAAAGTAACATGTCCTTGTGAGATGGATTCATATCATGTTTATAAATGCTGTATGACCTCTTTAGATCCATTCCTAATTAATCATAATTTGGGTATGTTGAGAAGAAAACCCATCATTGTTTTACCAGTGAAAATGGAATTCCTTAAGCAAATTCATTGTGTAAATAAGGGAAACACTTTCTTGACTTAAGAGTGAGGCTTAACATTGTCTAGGGCCTGAGAAACCAGTTAGTGGCATTGTTGGCATACAAGGAACATGCCAATTACAAATGATTCTTATCTACCTATTAACATACTTAGCAGTCACTCTTTAACACTTAAAGCCCATTATCCTGACCATAATTTTACTATGTTTGCCTACTAACACACACACACACACACACACAGAGTATCTTTTTTAAAATAATCACAGATTTAAGTGATCTAATGCATTTTACTGTGTGTGTTTTATTTTTAAAATATTTTCATTAATACTGAAAATCATTTATTCATTCAGCAATCACCACCACACTGTGAATGACATTGGTGGGACAGGAGGGAGTCTACTATTAAAAATAATGCTGTGTGAGACTCCTAGGTATTTACTCAAAGGACACAGAAACATCAATTCCAAAGAACACCTGCACCCCTATGTTTATAGCAGCACTGTTTACAATAGCTAAGCTTTGGAAACAACCCAAATGCCCCAAAATAGATGACTGGATCAAGAAGATGTGGTACATATATACCATGGAATATTACTCAGCATTCAAAAAAGATAAACACATGCAATTTGCAGCAACATAGATGGCGCTGGAAGGGATCATGCTCAGCGAAATAAGCCAGAAAGAAAAAGAAAAATACCGGATGGTCTCACTCATAGCAGGAATCTAGAAAACTTAAATAAGGGACCAGGAAAATGAATAACTATAAGAAAGTGAAAATCAAAATCAACAAAAAACTATGAACCAGAGACACTTTTTGGGGGGTAAGAGGTGGGAGGGGAGGGATTGGGGTCAAAATGGGGTGGTTGCAATTGTATGGGGAATATAAAAATAAAATTTATTATTTTTTAAAAAAAAAGTTCACAATCACTTATTAGAGGAATGCAAATCAAGACCATGATAGATACCATCTCATACCTGTGAGAATGGCCAGTATCAAAAAAGAAAAAAAAAAAAAATAATGCTGTGTGGGCCTCCTTGGTGGCGCAAGGGGTTAAGCTCCGCACTATGAAGCAATCCGCAGCCTCTGCAGCATGAGTTCGATCCCCGGCCGGCCAGGGAGCAATCCACATGGCACAGCAGACCTCTCCTGTCTCGCCCGCTGCTCCCCTCAGCAGTGTATTTTGTCAGTCTGCCTGTTCTGTTCCCCACTCTGTCTCTGGTGAGTCCTCTCACCGCAACCCCCCATCTCTGGCCTGTACGCCAGCTCTTGTATGCATAAATAAATAAATCTTAAAAAAAATAATGTGTCTTCTGATATAGGAGGAGAATTATATTTATTTCTGGAGAATTCCAGGAAGGGTGGGTGGTAGAAAGAATATTGCTGGAACTGTCCCTTGCTAGGAAAATTGCCTGAAGTATGGGGAGGAGCAGAAAGGGACCTGCAGGAAGAAGGAAGAAGAGGTTGGAGGTTGGAGGTGGGAGGGGGCAGAGGTGAGGAAGAAGGTTGGACTCAGATAAAAAAATGGTGTCCTGGCTCATGCTAATTGGTTAGATTTTATCCCAAAGATGACTGGTCATGGTTGGAAGGCTTTAGCTGTGTACTGTGATTAGATTAAGTCCAGAAAAGTCTTTCAGATCATCCTGCTCAGGGACTCCCTGGCTTGGCTCTTCATCAGAATAACTAAAAACCCCATAACACAAAAACCATTTATTTTAAGCATTCAAATCAAAAGTATCCTCCTTTATGCCCTCATTAACATGAAAGTCCTTTTTTTTCTTCCTTCCAGTCTATAGGCAAATACAAGCAAATTTGAAAGTGAATTCTTATTTTCTTCTCTTTCTTTCTTAGCCCAAAGGCAGAACATTACAGTAATTACTCCACATCTTGCTCTTTTTGTTTTTGAGATTTCATTTAGAAGGGATATGCTTGGGATTCTGTATTCTCGCAAGGCTACTCATTGACACTAATAATCATGGAAACCACTGGCCTAAGGGATGGGTGGGGAAAAGATAAATTTGGAAGCAGGAACCCAGTTTGGAAGTGGTGGGAATGGAAAGGAATATCCCAGGGATATTTAGTGTCCTTTAGCATGGGAAGTATACTGTACACTGTAATCACAATAGTATTTTGAAAATATTTAACTCCAGGTGCATTCTATTCCTGGTAAGTCAGTTTCACCATTACAAACTGGAAGTTGGGGAAAGGGTGGAGACCCCAGGAAAGAAGGGGGACATGGGGCCAGGGAACACTGACCAGATGGAACACGTATCGGCAAGAAGGGGGTAGAGGAGCGTCCGGGTTAGGTCCTAAGAGTGTCCCTTAGTCAACGATGATGTGAGGGTAAGGAAGGTACCCTAACTCCTCCAAGGGGTGGTGTTGGCTGAAGTAGCTGCCTGGACTACTGGACTGGAAGGCTAGGTCCCTACACAGACCACCTACCGCAGAGACAAGTGTTCATGTGTCAAGGCTGCGGTGTCTCCCAGAGGTTCTCCCATCAAGAAGGAACATCAGGCCCAGATTGAGTCAGCTAAGCCCACAGTGGCAACAGTGGACACTGCACTGAAAAGTACCTGCACAGATCGACCCAGTCCCTCAAAGAAGCCTCAAACCTCTTCATCTCTTTGATGTACGTACCAAGCTGCCATCTTGGACAAGAACAGAGTGAGGGACAGGAGATCTGTAGAAGTGAATATTTATCCAAATAAGACTAAGTCAGCTTAAACATGTGCTTATGTTTGTGGGGCAGGCTGAGTTTATTTGCATTGCCAACAATGAAAAGCAGATCAGTTATGCTAAGGGGGAAAAAGAAGCAAGTTTTTCTTTGTTTATCTAATTACTATAAGTATGTTTGCAAGACCAATACAATACTATTTACATTTTTTATAGTACAATGGATTCCATGCTTCGCCCAAGACTAGAGCATTTAAAGATGGCTAAGGGAGTTTTGCCCAAGGCTCAGAAAAGTGCTATTAAAATATGCAGGTCAGAGAAGAATTGAGTTGATTACAGGTATGTTTATAGCTTCATTTTATGAAGTTGGGAATTAGAAAGGCTCTTAAAGAGTTACAAGGTCAGTGATGGGACTAGTTTTAGAGCTGCCACTCATGAGGTTGGGCTTCCTCTCCTTAAGACCGTACTCCTCATACTTACTTAGCACTTTTGTGGTGTCTTTAGCCTACTTTTGTGTTTTCTATGAAGGCACAGAAAATTATAAACTTCACAAATAGTGGTAGCACTAGATTCCTAAATGCCAGGGGCAGTGAGAATTAGGCAACCTACATCTCCAGCCTGCCTGGAGAATTGGCTGCATGGCTGATGACAGGTGGTTGATGGCTGTTGTTTTACCCCAAAGTGAACTGCTTGCTTTGATTGGCATGTTAGAGAAATCAGTGTCCCCTTGAAGGCTAGGAAAATCCCTGTTCTCAACAAGGATATGATTCCGTGGTAGAAAAATTGACCCCTGAGAAAATTTATCTTTCAGCATAGCTGGTTTGAGTGTGTGATAATCCAGTGGCAAAGGTCCCAGGTCAGAGTCCAGAAAGCATTTACATACTATTAAAAAAAATTGGGTCTGTAGTGTCTTTATCTCCAAACAGCTTAATCTATTAATGGAGGTACAAGCCATGGTATGAAGAATAGAGCACAAATTTTTTTTTTCCTGAACTCCTAAAGTGTTTATATGATGTAGAATTTGTCAGTAAATGAGTAGCACCACATAAAGAGACTGATATAAATTACTTGATCACAAAGTTCATGTGGTCCTTAAGTAAATAGCTTAATTGTATAGTATTTTTTATTAGCTATAGTTAGAAGATTTTGTATTATATAATTTGGTTGCTGTTTCTCTTCAATGAAGACTTTTAATAGTAATATAAGCCTTGAGTACATGGTAATGCCAAGGGCTTTAACCATCAGATGTAACTATTACTGGGACAATAAAATATGCCTTACTATCTCCTAATGCAGACATTACTATTTTTCAGGAAAAGTAGTTGTTTTTTTTTTTAAGATTTATTCATTTATTTATACAAGCACTGGGTACAGTCAGAAGCGCAGGAGGGTGAGAGAATTCACCAGAGACAGAGCCGGGAGCAGAACAGGCAGACTGATGAAGTACACTGCTGAGGGGAGCAGCGGGCGGCAGGAGAGGTCTGCACACCATGCGGGACCCTCACCCGGTGGCCGGGGATTGAACTGGCGCTGCAGAGGCTGCGGGCAGCTTCGCAACCCAGCGCTCAACCGCTGAGCCACCGGGGAGGCCCAGGAAAAGTGGTTTTAAGGAAAAAGGTTAAATAAAAGAAAATAAAAAGTAGTTACCATAACTTGCTTTGGACAAATAATCACAGAAAATTCAGAAGCAATTATGAATTAAAATATTTTAAGTAAAGAAGAATTTGTTGTAGAAGAAAAAAGATTGATTTCATACAATTGTTTAATTTTGATGTCATTTTTCTTTGTGATGTTTTCGTGTTTTGAGCTTTTTGGGGGAAAGATTTCATTTCATTTCTTTAACCCTCCTGCCCTGAGATCTTCTTTCACCTTAATTTCAATCTTTCTTGCCTTTTCCAAAAAGAAAATCTTTCACAGATGCTGTCTGCCTGTTCAATATGTCTCCTGGTAAAGTAAAAAGAAACAAGATTTTAGTGGTTTAAAATTAATGAAAGTCACCCAGATGTTTTGAAAATTGACTGGATTAATATTAGGGGTCAAAAATTTTTACAGGAGCAGCATATCAGAGAATTCCTCAATGTTTGTTTTCACAATAGATTTCTCCCTTTTCAAGCTACTTTGGGTGGGTAATTCAGTGGGGTAGAAACTGAATTACTTCTGAAAATTCTTCCATGCAAAAAAAAAAAAAGTGCATGGTTTTGGGAACATTATAAGATTTTATAAGTCGGCCAGAGGCCCAGTAATTGTGCAAGGAAATGGGTAAAGCACTTGCGTGTGAACTGACATAACTGATATTTATTGAGTGGCTAGTATGCACCAGAACTGCCACAGGTACTGAGAACACAAGAAAGCAAGGGAATTCTGATGGGATGTTGCTCAGAATCACGCGTGTCAAGTTTACTTTTGATGAATCAAGGTGCAGGTTCTCAACAGGAAGCATCAATGCTCTCCTAACCTCTGGAAAGTATAGCTTCTTTTGTGCAACATCATTTGTAACACTACCAAGAGCTGATCTTGTTTTTAGATCACACATTCAGCTGAGTAGTGGTGGGAAAACCATTTATTTACTCTGGGCCTCTGTTTCCTCACCTAAAGTTAGTTGATAAATTGGAACAAAATATCAATGACCAGAAGACTTGATAAAACCCATTCTGGTGGGCTAGACCCCCAGAATCTGAAGCTCTGGGGGTTGAGCTTCTGATTCTGGGGGTCTGGGGCCAGGATGTATTTCCAGTCCTAACAGGTATGCAAGGGATGCCTGTCATAGACCTCACTTTGGGAACCACTTGGCTAGGACATTGACATACTCATAACTCTGATTTATAGTATATTTCTACATGATACAAACACAGACTCTCCCATTTTTATTTTCCTTGGATTTTTCTATCTAAGGCTGTGTAGACAGGCACCCAAAAATTGTGCTTGATAATCCTTGATGCTAGTGTAGGGGGTTTCAAATTGTGGACATTCTTGAGAGTCAAAACAACTCCCTTCCACACAAGCATACATGCAAGTTGTCTTCATTCCTGGATCCCTGGGTAATTTATTTGCTGTTAAGTGATAACCCAGCTCGGACACAGAAACATCAATTCCAAAGAACACCTGCACGCCTATGTTTATAGCAGCACTATTTACAATAGCTAAGCTTTGGAAACAGCCCAAATGCCCAAAAATAGATGACTGGATCAAGAAGATGTGGTACATATACACCATGGAATATTACTCAGCATTCAAAAAAGATAAACCCATGCAATTTGCAACAACATGGATGGAGCTGGAAGGGATCATGCTCAGCGAAATAAGCCAGAAAGAAAAAGAAAAATACCGGATGGTCTCACTCATAGCAGGAATCTAGAAAACTTAAATAAGGGACCAGGAAAATGAATAACTATAAGAAAGTGAAAATCAAAATCAACAAAAAACTATGAACCAGAGACACTTTTTGGGGGAGGGTGGCGGGAGGGGAGGGATTAGGGTCAGAATGAGGGGGTTGCAATTGTATGGGGAATATAAAAATAAAATTTATTATTAAAAAAAAAAAGTGATAACCCAGCTCTACTCTGCTGAAATTTTCAACACCTCTCTTTCCCCCTTCTTCTCCCATCTTCCTGGAAGATCTTAAGTCTTTCCAGAAAAGAAAGGGAATTGAGAATATCTTCTTGGCACTTAAAGCCAGTTGGGACTGTTGCCAAGTGGACAGGATGGTAAATTCTGGTCAAGTTCACGATGAGCAGACTCTGAATTCTATATGTGGGTTCTGTACCTGGATGTTTTGATGTCTTTGTGGAGGGTGGTAACTGTAACTGTAGAAGGAACCCCTTTAATTACCACTTGTGAGAAGAAATTGGAGAAGTCATTGTGAGCAAATCAGTGCCCTTTGGCTTTTTTTCTTTGATTTTCATTCTCATGCTAATATACCTGAAATCTAATCATGGTCACTTAATCAACATCTGGCATATAAAGTCTTCAGTTCTCCCCTTGGGAGGCCAAGAATAATCTGGAATCCTGAGCAACTGGCAGTGTCTTATTCCTGCCCCCATGCCCCAATCATGTTCTGTAGGGGTGGCTTGGGCTTTGTATGAGATGGAAACACCCCCCGCACCCTCAATACACCCAAAGCTGCTGTGCTCCCTGATAGGCCCATGTCCGATTGCACTCACCAGACTAAGCTTTCTGGGCCCCCTGCATTTCTATTAGGCCACATAACTATTAATATCAACAATATACATGATACTGATAGTTGCATCTCATCATACTATGAAGCTTTGAAGCAGGGAGGGCAGGTACGCCTTTGTGACCATGGAATCGCGGATTTAGAAGTCATTTATTCCTGGGATGCTCAATATTGTTCAAGTTCATCAGGTGTCCTAGGTCCTAGGGCTGCAAGGAGGGGGGAGAAATAGGAGTAGAGAGAGGGTTGGACACACCCCTCCCTTAGCTTGGCTTTTGTCCAATTTGTACGTTGAAGTTCTACATGGGATTTATTTAAAAGACACTAAGCAGTTGGAAAATCACTCATTTGGTACAAGTTCCCATTGCATGATTCCAAAAACAGACCAGAAATTAGCCCAAAGTCACAGAGTTGCAGTTAACTTTGGGGAAGGTGTGGTTTTGTAAGTTCAGCTAATCTGTTTCTCCTAAGTCTGTCCTCCGGACATAGGCGGCGTGGCTACCATTCATTTTCAGTTGCTCAAATTCCTTTCTTATTATTTTTTCATTTAGATACAATTGACAAAAACGAATGGTTTAAAGGTGTGGCATTGAGCACATCTATAATGTTATGCAATCACCACCTGTAGTTCCAGAATATTTTCATCACCTCCCCCCAAGGAAACCCCAAACTATTCATCAAGGACATGCTTCCCCTTCCCCTCCCAGCCCTGGCAACCACAGGCCTGTTTTCTGTCTCTGTGGTCTCACCTGGTCTGGACATTTCGTACACATGACATCATACAGTGTGTGGCCTCAGCAATGGCTTCCTGATTTCATTTAGCTTCACATTTTCAAGTTCCATACACACTTAGCCTGGATCAGGCTATCATTTTTCTTTTTTACTCTTGAATAATATTCTTTATTATTATTACCATTATTTTTTTTTTAGTAAAGGCACTATTTAAAGTTATATATTCTTTTATATTCCCAGTACAATTGCACCTCCCTTATTTTGACCCCAATCCCTCCTCTCCCCGCCCCCCCCCATAGCATGTCTCTGGTTTATAGTTGCAATATTCTTTTTTCAAAAAAATTTATTTATTTATGCATACAAGAATGCCCCAGAGGTGTGGAGGAGGTTGGGTGAAAGGATTCACAAGAGACAGAGTGGGGAACAGAATAGGTGATTGACTGAAATACACTGCTGAGGGGCGCAACGGGGTGAGTCAGGAGAGGTCTGCTGCGCCATGTGGGTAGCTCCCTGGCTGGGGATCAAACTTGTGCTGCAGTGGCTGCGGGTAGCTTCATAGTGCTGCGCTTAACACCTTGCGCCACCAGGGAGGCCCTTGAATAATATTCTATTGCATGGATAACATTCTACATGTTTATTGTAGTTTCTTTGTTTTTATTTTCTCTTCTGAGACACACTATTCTTGTTCCTGGAGACATGTTGGGGACAAATGAAGATAACAACCAGATTTCTGCACCCCAGGCTCTTCCTCAATCTTGTAGTGACCATCATGGGTCCTTACAGCAACTGACCTTGAATCCATCACTGAATCTCCATGTGCCTCAATTTCCTTAGCTATAAAGTAGACTTGATGACTGTTTGCTAGCCACCCTACAGGTAATAATGAGTTAACGCTCATTAAAAGCTTTGAGGTTCTCAGATGTTGGGCACCATGTCATATATAAATACAATGTAGCAATCTAATAAGCAGCCATCAGGAGTTGTGTGTTTTTCCTAGGACCTTCTCCAAAATGGCAAACATCAGCCAGCTTTCCCATGGATGCTGCAAGTTCTCTTCCTGTTTCCAAAACATGCAGTGGCAAATAATTTTAGGGATCCCTGAGTTTGTATCTCTGCATCTTCCAGAACATTGCTGCTCATCAATTCCTGAATGAGTGGAGGATGCTCAGAGTTTGCGAGCTCTATCTAAATGTAAGGCATTGGGTTCGACATCTATTTGGTCCCCACTCAACCATTTCATCTAGTCTGATGTTACTATAATTTGAACATGAAGCAAGTGATGCCCAGTGAAGTGTGACTCGTGTGAAGTCCCAAAGCCAGGAACAGGTGGAGGTAGGATCCCCTCCTAGTTATAGGGATGCCACACTTTCTGCTGTTTCACCTCCTAAGTTGACTGATCTCTTGAAGATTTGAATGGACATGTTGGGCTCCGTGCAGCTGAAAGCATTCAGCAGGATTGTAAAATAGAATGCAAGAAGCAAACTGAATAGTTTGTTGGTTGAATAGCATCCCTCCAAACTCACATCCACCCAGAACCTCAGAATGAGAACCTGTTTGGAAATAGGGTCTTTGCAAATACAATTGGTTATTGAGGACATATTATATATAAGAAAAGGGAAAGAAAGATTCAGACACAGAGCTGCAGAGAAGATGGTCACGTGAGGACAGAGGCAGAGACTGGGGTAATGGTCCGGACCCACAGTGCATCAAGGATTGCCAGCAACCACCAAAAGCTGGGAAGAGGGGAGGAAAGATTCTTCCAGAGAGCTTTCAGAGGGAATAGGGCCCTGCCTAAGTCCTGATTTAGATTGCCAGGTTCCTCTGGAACTGTGAGTCAACACATTTTTGTTGTGTTAAGTCCCCTGATTTGCGCTAATGTGTTATGGCAGCCTTTGAAAGTCAATAAACAAAACTTCCTCTATTATATAAGCTTGTATGTGGACTCCCCCAGAAGGCTCTTTATCTCAATAACAAATGAATGGAATAAAAAGATGGTATAAGTAGATGGAATAAATGTCATGGAATGGACAACGGACAAAAA